TCCCAAAATTTTGGGGAAAATCCCAAAAATTTGGGTGGAAAATCCCAAAATTTCCGGGGAAAGGGGCAAAAATGGGGGGAAAAATCCCAAAATTTGGGGAAAAATTTCAAATTTTCAAGAATTTATTGTCAAATTTGGGTCGGGACCCCCCAAATTTTTTGGGAATTTTTTAGGGGACCCCAAATTTTAGAGGGAATTTTTTTACGATGCCCAAAAATTGGGGAAAAACCCCCAAAATTGGGGGAAAAACCCCCAAAATTGGGGGAAATTCAAAATAATTTGGATTTTTTGGGAATTTTTGGGGGAAGTTTTTGGGAATTTTTTGGGAATTCAGGATCGGGCGATCCCAAATTTTTTTGGGGGTGGTTCCCAAATTTTGGGGAATTCCTGAACTTGGTACGGTCCAAAATAGGGGGAAAAAACTCAAAATAATCAAATTTTTTGGGGAATTTTTCGGGATTTTTTTGGGGAATTTTTTGGGGAATTTTTGGGGAATTTTTTGGGGAATTTTTGGGGAATTTTTTGGGAATTCGGGGTCGGGCGCTCCCAAATTTTTTGGGGAATTCCTGAACTTGGTACAGCCCAAAACAGGGGGGAATCCTAAACTTGGTACAGTCCAAAATAGGGGGGAAAACCTCAAAATAATCAGAAAAAAGTCAAATTTTGGGGGATTTTTTGGGATTTTTTTGGGAATTTTTCGGGAATTCGGGGTCGGGGGCTCCCGAATTTTTTGGGGGGATCCCTGAACTTGGTATTGTCCAAAATAGGGGGATCCTAAACATGGTACGGTCCAAAATAGGGGGAAAACCTCAAAATAATCAAATTTTTGGGATTTTTTTGGGGTTTTTTTGGGAATTCGGGGTCAGGGGGTCCCAAATTTTTTTGGGGAATTCCTGAACTTGGTCCAGTCCAAAACAGGGGGGTCCTAAACTTGGTACGGTCCAAAATAGGGGGGGAAAACCTCAAAATAATCAGAAAAAAAGTCAAATTTTTGGGGGATTTTTGGGGAATTTTTTGGGAATTCGGGGTCGGGGGGTCCCAAATTTTTTTTGGGAATTCCTGAACTTGGTCCAGTCCAAAACAGGGGGAATCCTAAACATGGTATGGTCCAAAATAGGGGGGGAAAACCTCAAAATAAAGCAAAAAAATCGAATTTTTTTGGATTTTTTTGGGGTTTTTTTCGGGAATTCGGGGTCGGGGACTCCCGAATTTTTTTGGGGGTGGTTCCCAAATTTTAGGGAATTCCTGAACTTGGTATGGTCCAAAATAGGGGGGAAAAAACTCAACATAATGAGAAAAAAGGTGGATTTTCTTGGTTTTTTGGGGAATTTTTGGGGAATTTTTTGGGAATTCGGGGTCGGGGGCTCCCAAATTTTTTGGGGGGATTCTTGAACTTGGTCCAGCCCAAAACAGGGGGGTCCTAAACTTGGTACGGTCCAAAATAGGGGGGTAAAACCTCAAACTAATCAGAAAAAAATCAAATTTTTTGGGATTTTTTTGGGGTTTTTTTGGGAATTCAGGGTCTGAGGATCCCAAATTTTTTGGGGGGGATTCTTGAACTTGGTCCAGTCCAAAACAGGGGGGTCCTAAACTTGGAACGGTCCAAAATAGGGGGGAAAACCTCAAAATAAAGCAAAAAAATCGAATTTTTTGGGATTTTTTTGGGGTTTTTTTGGGAATTCGGGGTCGGGGGCTCCCGAAATTTTTTGGGGGGGTTCCCCCAAGGTCGGGGGTCAGGCGAGGGCGGCGGGGGGCGGCGGGAAGTCGGGGTTGGTGAAGCTGAAGCCCTGGAACTCGGCCTGGTCCAGCCCCGCCAGCACCAGCGCGTCCGGCGGCGTCAGCGCCGGCGGCGCCCGCGTGAAGAACTGGTCGAAATTCTCCCCGTTCCGGCCGCACTTTTTGGGGGGAAAAGAAGAGATTTTGGGGAAATGGGGGAGGGGGAATGTGGGGGGAGGGGGGGAAAAGGTGGGGGAAGAGAAGGGGGAGGGGGGGAGGAAGTTTGGGGGGAATCGGGGGGAGAGGGGGGGAAAAAAGGGGGAAATTTGGGGAAAAAAGGGGGAAATTTGGGGAAAAAATGGGAAAATTTGGGGAAAAAATGGGATTTTTTGGGGGGAAATAAGGGGAAAGTTTGGGGAGGAAAAATGGGAATTTTTGGGGGGAAAATGAGAATTTTTGGGGTAAAAAATGGGAAAATTTGGGGAAAAAAAGGGGAAAGTTTGGGGGGAAATAAGGGGAAAGTTTGGGGGGAAATAAGGGGAAAGTTTGGGGGGAAAGGGAAATGAAAAAAAGAATTTTGGGGAAATTTGGGAGGGGAAGAGAAGGGGGAGGGGGGGAGGAAGTTTGGGGGGGATCGGGGGAAAAAATGGGAAAATTTGGGGAAAAAATGGGAAAATTCGAGGAAAAAATGGGATTTTTTGGGGGGAAATAAGGGGAAAGTTTGGGGAGGAAAAATGGGAATTTTTGGGGGAAAAAATGGGGATTTTTTGGGGGGAAAAAATGAATTTTTGGGGCTATTTTGGTGCTGATTTTGGGAATATTTTGGGTTATTTTTGGGGCCATCCTGGGGATATTTTGGGTTGTTTTTGAGGCTATTTTGGGTTGTTTTTGGGAATATTTTGGGTTGTTTTTGGGGCTATCCTGGGAATATTTTGGGTTATTTTTGGGGATATTTCGGGTTGTTTTTGGGGCTATCCTGGGGATATTTTGGGGTGATTTTAGGAATATTTTGGGTTGTTTTTGGGGCTATCCTGGGGCTATTTTGGGTTATTTTTGGGGCTATTCCGGGCATATTTTGGGGCCGATTTTGGGGATATTTCGGGTTCTTTCTGGTGTTATTTTGGGAATATTTTGGGTTATTTTTGGGAATATTTTGGGTTATTTTTGGGGCTATTCCGGGCATATTTTGGGGCCAATTTTGGGGATATTTCGGGTTCTTTCTGGGGATATTTTGGGGCTATTTTGGGTTATTTTTGGGGCTATTTTGGGTTATTTTTGGGGCTATTCCGGGCGTATTTTGGGGCTGATTTTGGGGATATTTCGGGTTCTTTCTGGGGATATTTTGGGGCTATTCCGGGCATATTTTGGGGCCGATTTTGGGGATATTTCGGGTTCTTTCTGGGGATATTTTGGGGCTATTTTGGGTTATTTTTGGGAATATTTTGGGTTATTTTTGGGGCTATTTTGGGTTATTTTTGGGGCTATTCCGGGCGTATTTTGGGGCCGATTTTGGGTGGATTTGGGGTGTTTTTGGGTCACTCACCGGGCGGGGGGTGAAGGGCGGCGGCACCTCCAGGCGCTCCAGGCGCTCCCAGTCCGTTCGGCGGAAGAAGGGGTGACCCCGAACCTCCTGCTCCCCCCCCGGGCCGGCCCCCAGCCGCTTCCCGGGGTGCTTGGTCAGGAACTGCCGAGGGAAAAATCCCAAAATTCCCGGAATTCCCGGAAGAACAAAAAAAACCGCGCGGAAATCCGAGGGAAAACGGGGAAACGGCGGGGAAAAGAAGGGGTTAAAAAAAGGGGCGAAATTAAGGCTAAAAGAAATGGGTCTGGGGGATGGAAAAATCCAGGAAATCATCAAGAAAAATTCCCGAAAAATTCCCAAATTTCCTCAAATTCTCGGAAGAACAAAAAAAACCCCAAGGAAAACGGAGGAAATTTGGGAAAACGGCGAAAAAAAAGGATTTAAAAAAAAGGCGAAATTAAGGCTAAAAATGGGTCTGGGGGATGGAAATTCCCAAACATTCAGCTCAGAATTCCCAAATTTTGGAAAATTCCCGGAAAAACAAAAAAAACCCCAAGGGAAACGGAGGAAATTTGGGAAAACGGCGAAAAAAAAGGGATTTAAAAAAAAGGGCGAAATTAAGGCTAAAAATGGGTCTGGGGGATGGAAAATCCCCCAAAAAATTCAGGTCAGAATTCCCAGAATTCCCAAATTTCGGAAAATTCCCGGAATTCCAGGAAAAACAAAAAAAAAAAGTGAGGAAATTGGAGGAAATTTGGGAAAATGGCAAAAAAAAAAGGGGGGAAATTAAGGCTAAAAATGGGTCTGGGAGATGGAAATTCCTAAAAATCATCTGAAAAAATTCTGGAAAAATTCCCAAATTTCTGAAAATTCCCGAAATTCCCAAAAAATCAAAAAAAAACCCTGAGGAAATCAAAGAAAATTTGGGAAAATGGTGAAAAAAAGGGTTTAAAAAAGGCAAAAATTAAGGCTAAAAATTGAAATTTTGGGGGTTTTTTTTTGGGGCGGATTTTTTGGAATTTTTGGGAATTTTTTGGGTTTTATTAGGAATTTTTTTTTTCCAATAGTTTTGGGAATTTGGTTTTGAATTTTTCCAGAATTTTTTGCGATATTTTTTTGGAATATTTTTTTTATTTTTTCCGGAGTTTTTGGGGCGTTTTTGGTCGTTTTTTGGGCCATTTTTGTCGGGTTTTTTTGCGGATTTTTTCGGGGTTTTTTGCAGAATTTTGTGGAGTTGGGGAATTTTTGGGAATTTTTGGGAATTTTTTGGGTTTTTTTTAGGAATTTTGTTCCAATAATTTTGGGAATTTTATTTTAAGTTTTTCTGGAACGTTTCGCGACATTTTTTGGAATTTTTTTTCAAATTTTCCCGGAAGTTTTGGGCGTTTTTGGGGCCATTTTTGTCGGTTTTTTTTTGGTTTTTTGCGGATTTTTTCGGGGTTTTTTGCGGAATTTTGCGGATTTGGGGAATTTTGGGGGAATTTTGGGAATTTTGGGCTCTCACCCCCTTGCAGGTGGCCACGGCCTCCCGGGACAGGGATTTTGGGTACGACACTGGGATTTTTTAGGATTTTGGGAATTTTTGGGAATTTTTTGGAATTTTTTGGGGGTTTTTTTTAGGAATTTTTTCCAATAATTTTGGGAATTTTATTTTAAATTTTTCTGGAACTTTTCGCGACATTTTTTTTGAATTTTTTTTTCGAATTTTCCCGGAATTTTTGGGGCCATTTTTGTCGGTTTTTTTTTGGTTTTTTGCGGATTTTTCCGGGGTTTTTTGCGGAATTTTGCGGATTTGGGGAATTTTGGTGGAATTTGGGGAATTTGGGGCTCTCACCCCCTTGCAGATGGCCACGGCCTCCCGGGACAGGGATTTTGGGTAGGTCACCGTCTGCTCCAGGATGGACTGGAAGAGCTCGTCCTCGTCCTCGCCGTCAAACGGGGGCTGAGGGCCCAAAAACAGCCAAAATCACCCCAAAATATCCCTGAAATATCCCCAAAATATCCCTGAAATATCCCCAAAATATCCCCGAAATATCCCCAAAATATCCCCGAAATATCCCCGAAATATCCCCGAAATATCCCCAAAATATCCCCGAAATATCCCCGAAATATCCCCAAAATATCCCC